TTCCAAATTATTATAAATAACTGGAGCACATAAAGGCAACACGACGTACTCAACAAGGTAATAATAGCCTTTGAAATGGTACAGAATTAACAGAAGAAGTAGGATGCACACTATAAAAATGAAAAGGAAGTTTTGTCAGGGTATGTGCCAGGGGAAAGGAATAAAGACATCAGGAAGTATCCATACGTTACTGGATAACACGAGAGACAACACAAAGGATATTATTGCATTAAATAAGATTTCAAACATTGAGCTGAACCTAGAAGTCTGGGTCTGAGCATAGATACTGACTTAATTCCACACAGAGATACCAAGAAATACTATAGTTATACATTTTTCTCTTTGCCGTCATTGACAGTTTTGGGTCATTTGTGCAAGAATTGGAAATTTCAGGTGTAAAAATGGTGTAGGAGACAGGTTCGCTTGTCATCATCGCGTTTTTCTAACGATGCAGCTTCTCCTTTAGAGACACTCTGGAATTACACCTGCCCATGAGGGGCTCACTGCTGAAGTTATATCAAGTGGATCAGACAGGGGTTATAAGCAGCTATTTGTGAACCAAAATTTAACACTCGAAATTTCTTAGGGTGAAGTAAAGTGCTACTAGTACATTCCACCACCCAAACCTACCAACAAACCCCACAAAGGGTACTGCTTTCTTCATTTAACTACAAAAACCATCTTGCAAAAAGCGATGCCAGTTCTATATAAAGATGCTGAAAAGGAAGATTACTATGGCCATCTAGAGGAGAAAAGAACGATGTGAAAACATACCACACACATTATCAGGCTTCAGAATGAAACATTTTGAGAGGCATGCAGCCAGAAAATAGACGTAATAAACTAATTATGTAATTGATAACAATTGAACCTTGAAATCATACGATCAGACATTTTTATGGTCTTAGCACTGCAAACATGAATCTACATGTTTTTAGCAACGCAAGTAAAGCTTACAGGGGGTATTAATGAAGGCAAGATGGTGTTTTTGTCTCCTTGAATTGTACGCGTGCACTGTTAAGTGCAGACACTGAACAAGCGGGTTTAAAGGGTGAAGACAGAAGCGCAGGGTAAACAGTTATTAGTAAAACTGCTCACTGGCTCCTTTGAAAACGCAGCACATTGTTGCAAGATACAGCGTGCGATAGAGATTGGGGACAAAATAACATAGCTCTTTCTGGAAATGAAGTCATATTACTCTGCCTCTGGTGGAAGTCTTAGTGGTACCATCAGAGGCTGATTGACTAGCAGTGAGCGGGGGGGAAACAGAGATGGACAAAAGTGAATTCTGCCCTCTCATCGCTTCACTGTAACGCTGTCAAGCCCTGCTCACCATTGGGACTGATCAGTGCCTTAAGTGGGAAGTACAGCTGCAGCGTTTAAGTCTTGGAAGTAGAAACGCTAAAGCATATGAGGAAATAGAAGCACACAAAGTCACAAGTATTGTCAATTGTTTCTTAGCTGAAATAAGTGCAGAGGAATACAGTTTGCTCCCCCTCCTCTACAGAGGACTAAGAAATGGTTCTATCATTTGCCTTTACACTTCCTATAAAAAGAATTCAGCAGTCATAAAGGCAAGTATGCCATGAAAGATCTCAGGATTCCTATGGCATCAAGTCTTCTACAGGTTTTATCTGCAACTTCAAGGAGCTTCGAGTTTTAAAATTACACCTAGGAAACACCTATAGCGTTGATGCTCTCCCTTTGGAATCAGAGCTTTTTAACCTCAGTTGTTGAGTGAACTCTTTTTCTGAACATAGGTGGACTGTTTGGTAGTGACAGCCAGTCCCTCATTTAGTTCTGACTGCAGGTTTCCTTCACACGGTTTCCACCTTCCCTTTTCATCACAGTTCTGGTTTGGGCAGCTTTCCCTTTGTAACGGTTATAACATAACAAGGCATACTCCGCCTTTCCCTCTATTCTAACACATTTTTACCATTGTGTAAAGACTCCCTCTTTCCTGTTTGAAATCATTTAGGAACATAAAGAGTACTAGCACTAATTATTCTAGTGTGCCACCTTCAGGTCACTGAGGAGTGACAAATACTAGGCTGCTCATCTGCTTCCGCAGCCAAGACAACCAAACTCCCCTTAATCGCATTGGACATAATTTTGTTGAGATTAATGGATTACAAACATGAGACTAAATCAGTGCTCTGATTTGCAAGCATTCTGCAGAATGACTGCAGGCTATCAAATAGCATTGCCGATTCTCCACTCCTTGTAAAACATGGGAAGAAAAAGCTCTCGCAAGCGGCAGGAAAAGCAAAATACTGACCTTCATAAAGCGTTTTGCAAGCAGAAGCATGTGGTTAAAAATTTACAAGTTTCTAAGTTAGAATGTTTTGATGGTTTTTGCTTTGCAAGGTTTCTTTTCTCCAAACCCTGAATGTTCTCTCATTATACTAAATTTAATTTGCATACTAATTTTAGAGTGAATATGTGTGTGTGCATACATAAAAATGGGTTTAACATCCAGCCAGCTTCCTGAATGGAAAGAGCGTTGAGAAGGGATAGCAGCTGGCAGCAGATATCTTTAGCAATACAAGACAAAATGAAAGAGGAGGAGAAGGGAAACAGTTGTAACTTTCCCGATGCAATACCTGGACTTGACATCAGGGTCCTTTTGTCTTGGATTCTAACTATGACATAGAATAATAGAATGGTTTGGGTTGGAAAGGACCTTAAGATCATCCAGTTCTAGACCTTAAGATCATCAATTTAAATGAGGCATAACTGACTTAACACCTTCCACTAGAGCATGTTGCCCAATGCCCCATCCAACCTGGCCTTGAACACCGCCAGGGATGGGGCAGCCACAGCTTCCCTGGGCACCCTGTGCCAGCGCCTCAGCACCCTCACAGGGAAGAGCTTCTGCCTTAGATCTAACCTGAACTTGCCTTGTTTCAGTCCGAGCCCATCACCCCTTGTCCCGTTACTGCAGTCCCTGATGAAGAGTCCCTCCCCAGCATCCTTGTAGCCCCCTTCAGACCCTGGAAGCTGCTCTGAGGTCTCCACACAGCTTCTCTTCTCCAGGCTGAACAGCCCCAGTGTTCTCAGCCTGTCTCTGTATGGGAGGTGCTGCAGCCCCTGAGCATCCTTGTGGCCTCCTCTGGACTTGCTCCAGGAGCTCCATGCCCTTCTTAAGTTGATACCAGAACTGCACACAGTGCTGCAAGTAGGGTCTTGTAAGATTTGCAGACTGGAGTTCTCATAGAATCGTAGGCTCAAGCAGGTTGGAAAAGACCTTAAAGATCATCAAGTCCAACCTTTACCCTAGGACTGCCAAGTCCACCACTAAAACATGTCACCAATTCCCCAGAAGAGGATGAAAGTCATCACCGATGAATTCTGATTTTCTGAGAGGATGCTAAGGAAGAAAATGATGAAAACAAACCAAAAACCTGGATACAGGCTACCACAATAGCTCTGGAGCTTGTATCTCGTAGTAAAAAGCTCAGGTGAACTGGGAACCTTTCCCTGAAATGATGAACTAGGTAGGGGAAAAAAAATAAACCTGAGCAATTGTGGAATAGAAAGAGGAATATTACATGTTCCTTCCACCGTGGAATTGTTCTGTGACTATTTCAACAGCCAGCCTCAACAGTCTGCAAAGAGACAAATACGCAGTTCTGGGTATCTGAAAGTACTCTTCTTGTATCATTTCAATCTGGTTATTATTTGCTAATAAATACAGTTGAGTCTTCCATCTCCTGTTAATACACATCACCATTCTTTCTGAGCCACGACATAAGCCACAGAAAAATTAGTATCTTTCCTATTAGTATTCTCAGTAGATATAAAACCCAAACATGATACTTTCGCTATCCCTCTTCCTTGCCGTCCTGGTCCATCACAGCGTCCCAGGATCAGATCTTACCACCTGCTCCCACTTCTGCATCTCCTTCCCTATTTGCTGGAACTCAGACTCCCATGCCTTCCTACCAGATCACAGCAAATGAAAGAACCAGTATTTCTGATGATCAGGAAATAATCCCCTGACTCTGCAACTTACTTCAATCATGGCTTTCACATCCTTTGAGTCTTAACTTGGAAGCGTGAATGAGCATGCACTGATTTCAAATGTCAGTGGCAAACAGACTTTTATATGATTCAATTACATCACATAATAGAAACTCGGACATTTGCGAGCACTTCCGGGCTGTGTAGAACATTTGAGGACAGATATCTAAGGATTACGTGTATCACGTTACATGAAAATATCAATTAGTAAAAAACCTTTGCATTTTAACATATTAAAAGGAGACCAACAAATATCTTACTATAACATAGCATCTATATCAGATTCTTTTATGTAACAAAAGCTCACTTTTCAACCTAGAAAATGGCCATAGACACAGTTCTCGCGTATTTTCAAGCACAGAAAGCATATTGACACAATACCGACAGCAGAATTCTCCACCTCTATATCAGATTGTCACCCTAACTTAAAATCAAGAAACATATACCACAAAGGAAACAGCCAGAGTTATTAATGCCATGGAAAAAAGATATTCATCTACTATTTGTGATAATTTCTTCCTGCGATTTCAAAAGAAGAAAAGATAGAGAACATTTCAGTAATGCACACTGCAAAGACCATATGCACTGTAACCAATAACCAATTCCAGTTACTCTGCTGAGATGACAGCTTATCAAGAGATGAGTAACAGGTTGCCTTTGTATTTATAATACCACAGAATTCATCAAGAGTTGCCGTATTGCCTTCCTAAACCAAAACGGCTTTAAATTCCCCCCAAAACAGAATTACTGATGATAAAATGCACAAAACTTCATATAACAAGGTACCGCATCACTTGCATGAATGTGCACAAGTCTCTGCCATTCTTTTCTTTGTCTTGAGCATGCACAAATATAAAAGGTATCTGGATATTTCTTACAGACGTTGACCATTTACAAGTCAAGCTGTACGTGACTTACTTATCCAGAACATCATTCTGAAATTTGGAATAAAAGGAATGCTTTTAAATCACTCTTACCTTCATCTATTGAGGCTTCACTACTGTATCCATCATATTCTGCGGACAGGGGACTATATTTTTGTCTGGTTTCCCATACATAGTTTTTTTGCTGTCTGCCATCCACCACTGGCAGCCTGGAACTCTGGGTTCTAGACAAGGCCTCATGATATTTACCCAGTGCTTCATCTTCACTCTCAGATGATGAACCATGCTGGTCTTTACTCATATAAGAGTTGTCTGTTTGAATAAAATAAAGCAAATCGACTACAGCTCAAAACAGAATACAAGAAAATAACCATCAAAGGTTATAATTGAAGATATTTACGCTATTTCAATTAAAATTTCTCTAATATTTTTTAAAGATCATCTTGTTGTAATTACAAGTATTATGTGATTCTGTAATTGGTGAGAGCTATTTTTTCCTAGAACAACTGAAAATTCATTAAGCCCCCAAAAAACCATTCTAAAACTTATTCAAGAGAAAATGGATCAATTTACATAAGGCAGCACACACTCAAGTTCTTGAAGACCTTCATTAAGTAAGAAAAAGCTTAAAATACTTTACGTAAAGGAAATCCAACACTACCCAACATTACATTTGGATATCTAACGTATCAAAAAGGCAGCTCCCGATCCTCCATTCCCAGCTGATTTTTGCTGCCAGCATGCAACATAGAAACGAAACCGATTGACAACGAGAAGCCTACAACAAAGTCATCTTAGGATATTTGTGTCAGTAGTGCTTAAACTCACAGTAACAAATGGGAAAATGCTCATGAAGGATGTTTTCATGCACGATATTATTTAACTTACAATAAACAGCCACTTGTTCCATAACTGACATTAATGAAGATTCTCATTGCAGACATCTGGCAACAGCAAAAATTACACAGAGGGATCTATCTCATTAATTCTTTGATACCCGTTCCATAATGCCCGCTCCTGCTGCCAACTTTCTCCAGCTACATCTCCAGCATGACTTCCTCCCACAAGTCAAAGACTCAGCTGCAGCTTTATTCCTGTAAAAGGAAAGTTTCCTCCTCCCTTTTCCACACCTCAGACAGATGCTCTCCGATTTTAACATGCCACGCAGAGGTTTTGTACATCTCGAACACTAAGAGGAATGAAAGCAAGTTCCTGTAAACGCGCTAAAGGTCAGCATTACCACTACCCTGAAAGCCAACCTCTGCAACTATAAGATTTGTCAATGGATTTCTGTTACCAGCAGAGCTCTGAGAGGCCAATAATGCTGGGTTTCAGCTCCTAATTCTGCAAGGGAATATTGTCAAATACGTTATCCAGCCATGCTCAACCCCTTCTCCACTCCCTGCTTTTATGCCACCTGTCCCCTCCCTGTCCTTAGCTCCAGTTCTGCATTTCCCCTCCCATTAGTCTCCTCCTTCGTGCCCAGTCAGTCTCACTCCTCTGCTCGGCTATTTGAAGTAAAGGAGGAATTCAGCTTGTCCATAATTCAGCCATTTAAAATTTAAGTAACTTAACCTCGGGCAGCCGTCTAGTTAAGGGTTTGCCTCTTCCTACTACAGAGATCCTTCCCACTTTCAGGGAAGCCTCTAGAGAAGAGTAAAACCGCTTCCCATTGAGCTTTATTTCTCCCCTGCACTCACAAAGAAAAGCCTATGCTGCAAGCTTAGGTAAGACATGTTCTGAAAAATCACATTTATCTGAGTAGAACCTTATCCTAAATTCGTGTCTCCTTGCCCCATAGTCCAGGCTCCTGCTCCAAGCATCCACTTTAGGTCTCTTATGGGGATTTCCTCTTTATTCTCCTTGTCTATTCATTCACAGATTCTATTACTTGCACCTAAACCAGCTACTCGTGTAACCTTAGTCCTTCACCCTTAGTCCCTCCACCTCCAGATAATGTTATCAGCTCTCTTCCTAGCTGTCACTCAGCCTACGTCAAATCCCAGTCTACCACTTGCATCAGGTCACATTCGTTCAGGAAGTTTCTGTCCTCACGTAAGTCATGTTTATTCTCAACCCTACTAAAGGACACTGGAAGTCTGAACAGGACCTAAGTATCATAAAGCAGGAGAAGACTTGACTCTGTTCTTCCGCTCCTACAGTGATGCATATGAGTGCCAATGGAACAGCTAGTGAACATAATCAGCAAATTATAACGAGCGTTTACTCTGCCTTTTCAAACAGCAACGTTTCCAAAGATTTACAGCTTGGTCGAACATTTTGTTCCACAGGAGAGCATGGGCATCTCTGACACGGGAAAAGCGCTCTCCCGCATTTCAAGTACATATTCCAATATACAAAGGTGCCACAGCATCTTAGTGAAGCAGACGTGAAAGCTACTTACTTCTTACACTGATAACCAGCATGTCTATCCCATAGTCTACTCCTGGAAACAGATTTACAAACAAAAAACTCCGCCACCGAAAGGCTCTCAGACAGAAAGCATGCCAAATTTCATCCCAAGCGTTTCGAGTTTGGCAAATAGTTTCAGGGAACTGAAAAGACAGTCTTGAAACGGAAAGCGTCAGGAAACCTCAACTGCAGATGGTGCTACCAGTTCCGCAGGCAATGTGTTTGTAATCCTGATTTAGTCTTTATAGGAAAACTGGTGACTTAACAGAGCAGCTACATCTTTCAACTTGAATTCAAGCATAACCGATATGGTTCTTCCCATTGCATGGATGACTACAAAGCACGTTCAGTTTCGCTGATCACTTACTGAAAATATCACACCAAGTAAAGCTAAAACACAAGCTACCCATGCAAGCAGGTTTGAAACGAACAATATAAATCTGTCTCTTAGGGAAAAACAGCTCCCTGCAGACTAAAAAAACCCTCAGGGTTTTACACCTCCCCACTTGCCTTTTGAGTTTGTCATCTTAGCTGGAAACTTGCCTAAGAGAACTCGTGGTGCTGGTAAAACCTTCCCTTTACTTGGCTAACGCAGGTCGTAGGTAATTATTAACCTACTGAAAGCTATTCGTTTGCTTATTATGGGATGCCAAACGCCATTTTTTATAAGAGAATATAGAATCATAGAATATCTTGGATTGGAAGGGACCTTCAAGGTCATTTAGTCCAACCCCCGGTTTCTGAACCACACAAGGAAAAAAACATACTTCACAAATAATGTATTACATGAAGAAATAACAGATCAGATCCCAGTTTATCACACAAACACAGAAACCACCTCTTAAATCAAATTAAAACCCCCTTTGTATTACAAAAACAGTTATTCCTCTACAGAGACAGCATCGCTGGAAAAGCCTGTGCTGCTTTCTAAACCTTCACTGCATGGCCTGCACAACGACTGTGTAAAAATGCAAGGTTGTACTTGTTACTTACAAACTACTACTGCAATTCCATTGTCGTACTGTTTAAGACTGGATGCTGAAGCCAGCGCGCACAGCATCCATATCGACAACACACGGGTTTTCTGTGCAAGACTGCAACTTTAAGACAAGCCTCATTCCATTCTTTCTATACTTAAAATCACTTAATTGCCTCTTCTCACGGAGTTTTGTGTCTTGGAATCATTACCTTGCATATCCCCAAAATACATTCTGCACATCTACCACAACGTCCATGCAACAGAAGTTCTTTCTTTTGCAATGCTTTTAAAATACACAACATGAAACCCACTTTCACAGAACAAGTGCTCATTTCCAGTATTAATCCTTAGTTTTCACAAGAAACCACACGAGGCACTGCAGAGAAAGTGAGAAAAACTGCATGTAGAAGAGTTAGAACATAGGAAAGGCATTTATTAACCAGCTCCCTTAAATCATACTTTAAAAAGTAGTGAACTTCCAAGAAATAGCAATATAATTAGAGAAAGAAGTCCTGACGAAAGAGCCTGCATTCATCCACAGGAAGCACTATTATTAGATGTGTGAAGCAGGGGAAGAAAGTAGCAAGTATCAGAAGTTTCAGGAAAGGCTGAAGAATGCAGTTTGCTGACGGGCTCCTCACCTTTTCCTGCTGTCTTCTTATTACACAGCTCTCTGCCTGATTTCTTTGAGTTTTTCTTTTGACCCACTTCTGCAATTGGGGTTCCCACACCATGTTCACCCTTCGACAGGGATTTTCCTTTTCTACCCAAAAAGGCTTCAGATTTCTTTCCTTTGACTTCATTAATGCCACTGGGGTGCTCATCGTGCATCTTCGTCAAGCTGGAGTCTGCTGATTGCGGCTTCTGTACGTCAAGTTTTGTTTCTGAATCCTGTGGAACATTCATAGCGTGCACTTTGTCAGAAGCCTCAGCATCTGCTCCAGGTGACCGTGCTTTGACTTTTCTGTTCAAGTGATTCTGAGAATTACCTGGTGCTGCACGTAGGGAATTACCTTGTTCCTCAATGGGTTGTTCCGTAGTAAACTGATTGCTTTTCAGGTTATTATCCTTTAAGTACTTATCATTTACAAAACACTCCTTTCCTCCTACCGCTTCCCTTTTAAAAGGTCCTCCTGCAGTCTTCAAATCCTGAGTGACTTCGGTATCACTTAAACGATTATCGCTATCTGTGCCTTTTGACTCGCGCTGGTTTTTGTCCGTGCCACGGTCAGATACTCCATCCTGACCTGTACCTTTTTGTACAGGACCTAATGAATTACAATAATGAGTCTCTTTGTGCTCTGCAGTACCTCTCTTCGCTTTCACATGACTTTCCTGAGTTAATGATGGTGTATGTTCCTCTCTGCCTTCCACAGGTTTATCGTTCTGCGCTCTGGAGCTGTCACCTTCTGCACGAAGGCCATTCAGCATGTTTGTCACTTGCTCTGTTACCGAATCGGCTACACTGTAGCCGACCTCTCCCACAGCGCTGGTCAGATCATCCACAGCACTGCTGAGCGTGTCCACCAGAGAAGACACAGAGGGGAGGCTCAGATTTTGGTGGAGGTGCCTGAAAAACGCCATCTGTCCAACCTGTTCAGCAGCAACTTCGGATCCCGAAAGGTTCTCCGCTTCACAAACGGATCAGCTCCGTTTCTCCAACTTCAGAGCTACGTGCTGCTCCCATCTCAAACTCCACACATTTACCAGAGGAAGCTGCAGCTTTGCTGTTTCCACTCAATATCCATTGAAAATAATAAGAAAGCAGCTAAGTGTCTTGAAATGAACCAGCAAAACCATAATCGCTCATCGACTGCAGCACCAACTAGCCATTACAGAATTCATTACTTTCATAAATAAGACAACTGTGTGAGGTGGAAATATGGGGGTTTAATTCTAACCTGCAAGGAAGAAGTTGTGAGACATTTATATTATGTCCTTTCATCAGTGTCACACTAAAACAAGCTTTTCACATGATAGCTGCCCTAAAACACGCATTATGGAAACTTCTTCACCCCCAAATACCCGTTGTCTTTGGTTAAGGATACATAAGGTAAGATCTTTTGGAACATGAAGACTTCATTTTTTGGGGGGGGGGGGGGGGGGAGGGGAGGGGAACTTCACCTCCAAAAAACCTGAAAATATATAACTGCTCCTTTTAAAGAGGTAAAGGGGAAGAAAACCTCTCCAGTTTTCCAGGAGAGTAAATGCAAGGCCTTCTCCAATAGGTTGCTGAAGGCTTTGAACAGGCTGAGTGAAAAACAAATAATCCCATTCACAAATGTACTCGAGAAGATTTAATTGTACCCCATTAGGGAATGCTTAAAATCCATTCAAGAGCCTTCTCATAGTGCAAGAGAAGTAGCTTCCCATACCTAAATGCCAACTCTTTGGTTATAGAGCCATCGAATTTCTGTGGTTTCTGCCTTTCCCACATACTGCAGTCACAGGAAAAGTCAACATTCCGTGTATTCATCACTTGAGTCAAGTGATTGTGTGTTTCTACACATCCTTGTAATAATGGGTTCTCAGAATTAAGGTTAGTACACTGCATTTCAGATACTTACAAAGTTTCTCTTGTGAATTCTTTCTTGTAGTGTATCCCGAATCAAGATCTGGGAAACCACTGACATTTTCAAAACACATCTTCTTATTGATATATAGAAAAAGCAGCAACATGAGAACAATGAACACCCCGATGGCAGACAGGAATCCGATTGCCTCAGGAGATACTAAAAGAAACAGAAGGAAACACATTTTCAGAAGTCTTGTAAAAGTTACGTTATCAGAATTGATCATTAATAAATACTACTGAGGTTCCAAATATATGTGCAAGACACAACTAAAAACCCCACAGCCCTTAAATTTGAGTTAATGTTTAATCCTCTTTCCAAAGAACAGAAATGTAACTGGTCCTAACCTAAGGGAGGATCCGTAACAAGGCAGGGTCTCTGCAGACGATGGAGGTATTATCACCAGATGCCAAGGCTGGGTTTTGATAGAGCACGCTGGAAAGACGCCAAGAGCATCCTTCTTGGAAGGGGTTGGAGGTTTGGCTACCTCTGGCAACCCAGAAAGGCTTGATGTGAGGTGTTGGAAGGCGACAGAGTTGCAAGTTTGTGTGAGAGGTTAAACTGAAGTGCTATAGATCTATACTTCAACAACACTTGGGTGCAGTTTGTAAGAAAAAGGGACAGAACTCAATATATGGTTGCAATTAACAATAGTGTAAGGCATTACGGAACTGTGATTCATAGTGGTATATTTATTAGGTAATCAATCTGTTATTTGGTTTATTAATAGCGTGCTGATCAATTCATAAACAGTATAGCCTGCTACATCAGACATGTCTCAAACCTGCATTCCAAAGAGGGAGAAGAGGACCTTGAAGTAACAAGACACCTTAATATTAAAGTGGTTTCGGGGGGCCTCAACACACAGACATGCATCTTCCAGGACTGAAAGTGGCTGTATTCCTCTGGATGAAAGCCAGGATTTCACACATCCCTCCTTCCTGCCGTTTTTGCTAGTCTCTACTCGCTATCATAAATCCCATTGTGGGGGTTGAACTTTTTCTATTTACAAAAGATTTATGAAGATTTATCAGATTTATGCATTCCATTTGCCAAGATCTTGGCACTTCACTTTAGGAGCACAATGCTGCGCGACAACATCTTTCACCACGTAAAAAGGAGTGGGATTGAAGAACATTTGGCACAGCTTCTGCATTCTCAGAGCTGCAATACAGATACGAAAGGACGAGAGGCACCAGGCCAAAGTAGCAACAAGGAAAATTCCAGTTGGAGATGAGGGGAAAAATATCCTAGACTAGGAGGGGCTTATCACTGAAACAGATTGCCTAGATCAGTTCTAGAATCCAACTGTAATGTTAGTCCTGCTTTGAACAGAGGGCTGAACTGTGAATTACTGCCCCACGAGCCTTCCCAATGAAATCAGTCTACAGATGCCCTCTGTAAACCTGGACTCGTGCATCTGTGTCGAAGCGCTGGCTGAGACACACAGGCAGCTCCACAACCTCCTCAGTTTGTGCTGTGGGAGGCCAGGAACATTTGCGCTTGTGGTGCTGCCCATAAATAAGCATACAGGTGGGTTTTAAGAACTGGAAAAGAAACCTTCCCCAATCCTTCTACGGAATGGGCCAGATCCACACTTCTATTTCGAGCTGGACGCCCAGACCTACCTGAAACTGAGGATTTGCTTCACTTTTTACCTCTGAGCAGAAGCGATCGCATAACATTGTGCCTAGAAGCCTGACCATTTTCACACAGAAAGGAGCCTTCCGGTATCTCTGAACTACCCATCCTGACAAACCGACTGAGGAAACGCCAGAATAGCAACCGAAGATGTCCCAAAAGGACAAAACTGAGCCTCTACTTAGGCAAAATCAAGCTTTGAGTAAAAGCCTTCCTTCTTTTGTTAGATCCTATCAGGAAACTGGAAAAAGCATAAGCAATTCTCAACAGGGTTAGGCTGGGAACACCGTCTTCTGCAGAACTGGAGGCAAAGCCAGAAATAACTGGAAACCTTCCAAATGTGACCTTTACCTTCCAACCCACTAAAGTCCAAGACAGAACATGAACCATAACACAGTATAACTGCTGAAGAGGGCCAGAACAAACAGTACAGCAGGGAGGAGCACGCCTCCAATACCTTCAATCTCAGACAGTAGAGAAGAAACACAGAACTCCATAGAGAGCTCCTCACCAGTCCTTTAGGATGGAGCTGTCCTGCTGCACCAAGCAGAGCAACACGGGGAGGAAAGTGCAATTCTATTCTGCACCAGAACGGAAAGGAAGCCAAAACTTCTTTACTATTATGAATAAATAGGGGTAGGAAAAATCCCTTTGTTCACAGAAGACGTTGGCTGCACATCCTACTAAGATTACCTGATATTCCCTCCAGGAATCTGCTTGGAGTTGCCCGCAATTTCATTGAAATCACTTGTTACAGCTGAACTTTATGGCAACTGCCTTACCCTTTTTGTTAGGTGCTCTGTTTCAACACAAAATAAGCCATGACCAAGCACGAACTGAAGGAAGAAACCTCACCGCTCTATCGGTGTTCTGTACTTTAGTTCTTCAAAAGCACTAGTGCTCCATGATGAAGAGGGGAACATCTGGCATGTGTCAGGTGCTCATTCATGGAGCCTTCCTAAATACAGGAAAACTCTGTGATGGGCCAAAAGCCTCTGTTTGCATATACTCATTTGTGACCCCAAGGTTTAACAGATGAACTAGATGGAAAAGATGAACTAGGATGGAACTAGATGATATTAAGGTCCTTTCCAACCCTAACGATTCTATGATTCTATGAGGCTATGAAGTCTCCCAAGGTTCTGCTGCCAGTAGGCAGGCTCCTTCCCCTCCCAAGGCTGCATATGGACAACAGGGAATGTCTGGAGCTAGTGGAACAACATCCAGTGTTCTTTGAATTATTGATTCTAACCCAAATGAGCCTAGAGACTGGGCTAAGAGCAGAAAAATCTTCATTCTTCTGCAACGCCTATCAAAGACAGCGGCAGCAGCAGAAAAGGCAGGAGGAAGGAACTGTGAAGACACATGAGGAAGAGCAGGCAGATAAAATGGGATGACAGAAACTGATCTATGAGGACAACTGCTTTATTCTTGGAGCACTGGGCCTGAACTCACTGCTTTGTGAGGAGACTGAACTGAATTCCAGTTGTTCCTTGATGCACAATAAAGGACAGTGAATGCTTTCTTTTAACAGGATACACTAACTGGGCAACAACTTCAACGAAAGGCACACTTTGTGGTATTCAGAGCACCACAGAATCCCAGGCTGGGTTGGGTTGGAAAGGACTGCAAGATCATCCAGTTCCAACCCCCTGCCTCACACGAGACCATGTCACCCAAAGCTCTGTTGAGGCGTGAACACTGCCAGGGATGGAGCATTTATCACTTGTTTTCACGTTTGATCGTTCAAAGCTGTAGGTTTAAGGGGGTTTTATGCTTACACTGTCCAGCAATCAAGGCCGCTTTGACCCATCCCAATGTGGGCTCAAGGAGCTGAACCACAACCTCAAAGTAACTTGAAAACACAATGTTTTGGGGGTTTCTCCGGAGTGCTTCCTGGGTCCTCATTAGTTAAAAAATACACTGTGTGCAAACTGCATAATTCCTTATGGAAACACAGTATCTGATGACATCTTTCTGGAGTGTAAAAAAAAAAAAAGCATTCGCTGGTACCTTACAAAAAGAATGAAACTCTAGCTGCAGCGAGCCTACTTCATTATTTACGCCATTCAGCGTGAACACAGGACTTGAAAATTACATTTCCATATCAATTTGCATCCACGTAAAGACTTCTAGAATGCCTGTTCACAGATTAAGGATATTATTAAGCTAAAATCCTTTAATGTGTTACCATTATAAAGCCAGAAGGAAGAAAAAAAAAATCAAAATAAAACAAATTGGACTTGCATTTTCCACATGTGAATGCGTACGGATTCCCAGCTATGAATAAAGATTTTACGCATCACATTAGGCCTTCCATTAGTTTCTCACAGTTGAAGCACCGAGCAGTTCTGCTTCGCAGGCAGGGAAAAAGGAAGTTCTTTTCTGCATGTAAAATACAACTGTGCCACAGGGAGCACCAGAATTATTTTGATGCAAAACACAGTGTCATAAATTCTGATCAGTTTGAGCACTGATTGCACCATGAAAAGCATTCTGAAAACTCACTCTCAGAGGTTCCCAGTGGTTTCTCCTACAATCATAAACCAGCAGAAAGGCAACAGTTCCTCGAAGTCATATTTCAAATTCAACTGTTCAACTGATAAACTTGATCATTACCCTCAGTTCTTAAGAAAAACGGCAACGAACGTTTGAAATTCGCAATAACATAACCCAGTTTTAGGCATACTAAAAGACCAAATGTCTTCCTGCAAAGTTATTAAGGCTAATTGAATTGCTGGCTATGGAAAAGTTACAGTCATCACAGAGGTATTACATTAACATCACTCTAATTCCCTTCTATCAGCATCGTCGCTAGGATTAGAATTATTAGAACACAGAAACTTACCATCGCCTCATCTCAAGCACCAAATTAGCATCTTCTTTTGGATAATAACTCCCCTGTTATTAAAGAGTTTCTCTTTTCCAAAAGATGTTTCAAACTCGTCAGAAAGTAACGGCATCGTTAAACACGAATCACCAAAATAACACCCCCAGGCACATTAAAAGCATTGGATGTTTCAAACATTAAATATTAATATTAAATTAAAAAGCATTTAATGTTTTTAATATGGATCTAGCCCCCCAATTATACTGACTATCCAGTCAGTTATTTCGGGAGCTCTCACCCTCCACATCACACTGCTGAATTAGGCAGCGATGTCCAAAGCCACACGGTTATCTTAGGGAGGGAGACTTTAATTATTCATTTACAAATGCAACACTATCTCCTCTGTGCACAAATTAAGCGACCAGGGCTATGACCAAAAGAACCTGTTACTTTTAAGAGCTGAGCACAAACCCACTTGAAATGAAAAATGTGACCATGTTTTTATTCATAACCCTTTTGGGGGTTTTTCTTACAACTTGATTTAAGGTATTTTAGACTTTTAAGATCCTTTAAATTGTTTTGGATTTAGCCCTGATGAAGAGTTATTGATTGTTCTTAGTTTTTACCCCATCACATCTTCACACTACGT